AAAAGGGGAAGAACAGAGGGGGGGGGGGACAGGGAAGGGAACGATACCAAAGGATAGGAACATCGGAAACAAATGAACGCCCGGAGAAGAAGCTGTCACTAGAAAGCAGAGTTCCCTCTAAGGCAGAATACCAGTGGCAAAGCTGTGGCCGTACCCGCTCGGGTCGGATAACACCCAGTTAGCCCCCCCCCCCCTACCAATCCACAAAACTCCACCAACATAGTTTGGCATAATGTTCCCTGGTGCCCAGCGCCGTGGCAACAAAATGTATGGTAAAACGACCCATAGACCCATACCAGGTACCCATCCTATCACGACAGTTGAGACTAAATCCTGTGAGTGCGTTCACGCCAGGCATATGTCAAATTTCAAAGTCTTCCGTTTCAAGTTTCACTATGATTGTCAACGATTATTTTGGAATGAGATGGAGGAGCGAAGCCATGGAATGATCCCCGGTGCATTCGTAACCGAGAAGTACCCATATATTTGTTAGATAAGGTTCATCGCCGTTATTCATATGGGAATTCGCTTCAAATACAGGTTCAACGTGAGTTTTTTCATTTAAACATTAGGAATTAGGAAACCGTTCAGACATAGGCGGATTCGGTTTAATGAGTTAAGATGTTGTAGTTTTTAACAGCTTATTTCCAAAGATATGCTCTTTGAGTTTTAGTTTTAAATTCTCACATTTACTACTAATGAGCCGATAAAATCATATTTAGAGATTTTTCATTTAATTTGTACGATTCGTTATATTAAAATCACCAGAAATATGCAAAGAACAAAACACTGGCTTCTATTTGTTTCGCATTAATAGAGATACTATTTAATATCTTATTTTCTTTATAATTTTCTACTTAACGCAAAGTTACATTTTTAATCTAATCATAGTGCTGGGACATTTTAAAAAGGTTGCATTTTGTCTGTTCTACATATATAAGGTCATTTTTAATTTACTTAGTACGAGTAAACACGATAAAGAATCTTTGTATTAATAAAGTAGTAAGAACAGATTTTGCATGTGGAAAACATTATTTGTCTTGAATTACGTGGCTATTATAATATATTAACCTTGCAGTTAGTTTGCAGTGGGCACCGTTGTGTTTGAACCCCCAGTTTAAATTACGTTCGTGTTCCAAATCCTAACCCATTACTTAAGCTAATATAATCTTGTAAATTACAATTTGGTTAGAAAATGAAAAATAGTAACTTGGCTTGCCCATTCCGTTCTTAAAATGAAAGGTGAAAAACCCTCTTCATCACGTAGTATATAAAGTATAAAGTTTAAAATTCCAAATGCCAACTCAAGTTTAAACTTACCTCTCACCAAATAATCACGAAAAATTACTTGCATGGCGTTAATTATTAATAGCTACATTTACTGATATTTAAAATTTATTATTATTCAAATGTCATAGTTTAGGGTGTAAAGCACTTACAATTGTCAAAAAAGGTTTACATGGAAAAGTGTATATAACATAACAAGTCAAAAACATAACAAATAAACAATAATACATGAACACTAAATCACACTACTAACTTACATCTAACATGTTTGTAAGTTTCGCATGATCCTCAAATTCATCCAGGGTGTAAAAAGCATGTTCAGTTAGGAATTTTTTAACGACACATTTAAATTTGGTATGGTATTCGGTAATTCCTTGATATGAACAGGAATAAGATTAGCAAGCCTTATATCATCATAAAGAGAAAAATTTATCCTTTTTAAAAATGTCAAAGCCAACTATAACTACCATTTAAAAAAATTAAAGTTTGTATTATAACTCAAACACTTGGATTGTCGCCGATTTCTTGGAAATGGAGGGAGTAAGGCCATGGAATGATCCCGGTGCTGTCCGAGAAGTACCCTAATTGGTAGATAAGGTCAACGCGTTTTCATATGAGATTCTCAATTTAAAATTCAGTTTGTCACCACCACATTGGCATGGAATACAGGGTGCGTCAAATACTTCCACCATTATTGCTTCTGATGATTATTGTTTAGTTAACTCACTTGGATTGTCAACGATTTTTTGGAAATGGAGGGAGTAAGGCCATGGAATGATCCCGGTGCTGTCCGAGAAGTACCCTAATTGGTCAAGGTCAACGCGTTTTCATATGAGATTCTCAATTTAAAATTCAGTTTGTCACCACCACATTGGCATGGAATACAGGGTGCATCAAATACTTCTACCTTTATTGCTTCTGATGACTTGTTTAGTTAACTCACTTGGATTGTCACCGATTTTTTGGAAATGGGGGGAATAAGACCATGGAATGATCCCGATGCTGTCCGAGAAGTACCCTAATTGGTAGATAAGGTCATATCAAGTATCAAGTATCAAGTATCAAGTATCAAGTATCAAGTATCAAGTATCAAGTATCAAGTATCAAGTATCAAGTATCAAGTATCAAGTATCAAGTATCAAGTATCAAGTATCGAGTATCAAGTATCAAGTATCAAGTATCAAGTATCAAGTATCAAGTATCAAGTATCAAGTATCAAGTATCAAGTATCAAGTATCAAGTATCAAGTATCAAGTAGCAAGTATCAAGTATCAAGTATCAAGTATCAAGTATCAAGTATCAAGTATCAAGTATCAAGTATCAAGTATCAAGTATCAAGTATCAAGTAACAAGTATCAAGTATCAAGTATCAAGTATCAAGTATCAAGTATCAAGTATCAAGTATCAAGTATCAAGTATCAAGTATCAAGTATCAAGTATCAAGTATCAAGATC